GCCACACTTGCCATGTAGTCCGCCGCACAATTAGCTTCTCTATGCACGTGGATGATCCGTACGCTCCAGTCGTACTGTAGCATGCTCCGGATAACTCGCACGATCGCCGTATGAGCCCCGAGGTCGTCATCAGCCCCATTAACCATACTCTTCGCACATTGGCTATCCACCTCCACGATAATCTGACGAAAGCCTAGATCCCAAGCCAACTGTAGGCCTTGGAATAAGCCCCACAATTCAGCTCCTGTTATGGAGCATGCCCCTATGTTCATTAGGAATCCTCCGATCCAACGACCGCCCTCGTCCCTAAGCAGGCCTCCCGCACAACTCAAGCCTGTTGTTATATTATGAGCCCCATCCGTGTTAACCTTAATCCATCCTTGCTCGGGCGGAATCCACCGGATCATACGGGTAACATGCACTGCAGCTCCAACTTTGATGTATTCAGCCGCAGCTCGGGAATAACTTTCCGTCAATGTCGTCACCACCGCCCTTCGAACCTCAGCACCACGCGTGACTCGTTGGAACACCCGTTCATTTCGCCATTTCCATAAACACCATACAGCAATAGTGAAAGTGCTGCTCCAGTTCGCCCACGAACCCCAATGTGACTTCACCAGATTACAATGAATCCACGGCTTGAGCTGCAACTGGAAGAAATCGCTCAAGTCTGCTACCGACAGTAACTTATTCCACAGCTCCTTAGCATGCCGGCAGTCCCTAACGACGTGAAGTGTCGTCTCAGGTTCTCCACAAAGCTCACATGCCGATGATGTCGAAATGTGCCTTCTCACGCGCTCGACATTGGTAAGAATGCGATCCTTAGCGACGAGCCAGAGCAAAGTCCGGGCCCGCTGTGGTGCTGGAGCGCGCCATATCATTTTCCATATTGGTTGAGCACCATTATTGTCCGTGGTCGAGAGGGCCTGATATGCCGTTTTCGTGGAAAATTTACCGTCAGCGGAGATGCCCCAGATAATGCGATCCTCCCCCGCCTCCGCACGTGGGGGGAGAGTTCCGGCAATACGGAGGATGACGGATGAGGGGAGGAGACCGTGCAGGCTGTCCCATCTCCAGTTTCCATCGTCATCCACAAACTTTGCCACCGTGTCGTCCATATTCACCCCTTGTACGTGAGGGTTAACAAATCTTATGAGCGGGCCACTAGAATCAAGCCAGCTATCGAGCCATAATCTTGTTGTTTCTCCATCGCCCAGTACCCATCTAATGCAATTGACAAAAAGTGGCCAGACTTCACTAAGTGCTCGGATCAAATTGGACCCCTGTCTCTGATATCTCAAAACCCTAGTCGCGAATACGTCTAGCCTGTACTTGGCCGATAACACGCGTACCCAAAGGGCGTTAGATTTAAGCAAGAGCCCCCAACACAACTTCATTAAGAACGCCTTGTTCATACGAGAGAGGTCTTTCACCCCCAAGCCGCCCTCATTTTTCTGTCTGCACACTTCTTTCCATGGTAACAAGTGGACTTTTCTCCTCTCATCCGAGCCGCCCCACACAAAGGACCGACATTTTCGTTCGAGGCCTTCCGTGACTGCCTTCGGAAGCATAGTGGATTGCATCGAGTAATATGGGAGCGTGCTGAGGGCCGAATGCGTGAGCGTCACTCGGCCGGCTAAAGATAATAATTTCGTGCGCCACCCGGCTAACCGCGTCTCCGTTTTCTCCAACAGGTGAGAGTAAGTGGCTTTAGTCATGCGGTCGTGAAGAATTGGCATGCCGAGATATTTCCCTAAATTATTTGTCACTTTGAAGTTCATCACTGCCGCCAATCTCGTTTGTTCCGGCGCCGGTACATTCTTGGAGAAGAAGACTCGGGTCTTCTCGTCGCTCACACTAAGACCTGACCGTGAGCAAAAATCCCCTAGTATTTGTCTCAAGACCAACGCCTGATCATCTGAGGCCTCCAGGAAAAGAAGAAGGTCATCCGCGAACATCAAAAAGGGCACCTTCACCGCATTTCTGCCAACCGAAATAGGTTTCCAGTGGCGGTCCTCTACTGCCTGACAAATATGTTAGCATCACTACACTTTAACTACAAGAAGAACTACATTTATACATATTTAACAGTCTACTAATTAAGCCCAAAATGAGAAAATCTATGGATTAGTGATAAAGTAATATAACAAAGACAGAATCTATTAGCTATATATTAATAAGAAATATTCTGTAATCTAAAGAGAAAAAACACATATCCAGAAATACTTGATCTCATATATCTGATATGGAATATTTAACATGACTAAAGAATTTAAAAAAAAAAAAACCCCAGAAATTGAATTAACCAAAAATAAGGCCCACATAAGAAATCTGGCTTAATTGATGCAAGAAAATGCATATGTACCTATAGAGCTTGTAAAGCTTTTTGCAAATCTTGGAAGCTGAGAAGATAAACTCCTTTCAAGAGCATTTCACATATACATTGTCCCCTTTTCCTTTTTACCTTGTCATATTCTTGTAAAGCACTCTCAGAAATATGACGCCAGTGCTTTAATATTATCAATTGTTGTTTAAAAATATGCTCGGTAAATATTATAATTTAATTTTGAGTGTTACATCTGCAAGTTTAATTAAACAACTTTCAGAAACAACTTTCAAAGAGCTTTCTCAAAATTCAGAATTTGATATTTGCTTGAACTTTTTTTATAAAATCCATCCCATCAAGTGAAAATTATTTAAATATTAGAAATTGTATATAAGTTTATGATCTTATGAGTTTTAAGAAATGCTGAATTAGTGAATTGATGCTGTGGAGGTGTACTTGAAATTACATGGAGATGAGTTCTTAGTTTTTGTTAGAATACAGACTTAGAGTCCTCTGGTTCTACTTGGTACTTGTTTTTTTGCTGTAGATTATATACTTGAAATTATATATTGCTTACTATAATTTTAAAATTTATCCACATGATGGTAGATCACGGAGAAAGACCGACTTCTAGCCAGCATGATGATATGCCACCTGAGAATTCACCAACATTGTCATCGCCTATTTCTGGCGATAGATTGTATGCGTACTTCTCAAGACGAGATGAGCCCTCCTATGACTCCACCGACGTAGGGTTGTGACGAAAATGAAATGGCAGCTGAAACTGGTGAACTCTATGGAAACCTTAAAGCGGAAATATGGAAAGAGTATGAGAAGCCAGTGATGGTGAAGGGAACATTAAAGGCTCAGTGAAGACATTGCAAGGCATATATGCTAGGTAATCCGAGCCAAGGAACTAGTCACTTGAGAAAACATTTTGAAAGATGTAAAAAAAGAAAGTCACAAGACATTAGACAAATGGTCCTAAAAGGCAATTTTGCGAAGGAAAAATTTGAGTTGTCGCCCTATAGTTTTGATCAAGAGCTATCACGTGAAGAATTAGCGAAAATGATCATCATGCATGAGTATCCTTTGAAGATGGTTGAACATGAAGGCTTTAAAGACTTTGCTAAAAGTTTGAATCCTTGCTTTAAAATGGTAACAAGGAACACAGTAAAGAGTGATTGCTTTAAGATTTATGAAAAGTTGAAGGAATCTGTGATGCACGTTTTTGAGATGAATGAGAGTCGAGTAGCAATCACAACAGATTTGTGGACATCCTCTCACCAGAAGAGAGGATTCATGGCGGTCACTGCACATTATGTTGATAACAATTGGAAGTTGCAGTCTCATATTATCAGGTATCTACAATAATTTTTGAATTAGAAACTTCTTGTTTTCTACTAGATTGTATACATATGCGTATTGTCGAAACACATTGGATTCTTGATGGATGATACTTTTTATTTTTTTTCTTTTTTGCAGGTTCATTTATGTGCCTAGTCCGCATACTAGCGAAGTTCTGTGTGAAGCTTTAACTGGATGCATCTTAGATTGGAACCTCGATCGCAAGTTATCCACAATCACGGTGGACAATTGTTCGACGAACGATGCTATGATGAGATTGTTGTTAGAGAAACTTTCATCGAACTCGCTACTGTGCGGCGGGAAATTATTGCATATGAGATGTGCAACTCATATATTGAATTTGGTGGTGGAAGACGGGTTACGCGTCATTGGAAAAACCATTGAGAAGGTGAGAGACAGTGTTTCATGCTGGACCGCGACTCCTAAGAGAATGGAGAAATTCGAGGAGTCAGCTCGACAGCTTCGTGTGGAACTTGACTGTAAAACTTGATGGAATTCCACGTACTTGTTGCTACAAATTGCTTTGGATTATAAACAAGTGTTTTCTCGCTTAAATGTTCGGGATCCAAGTTATAAATCTTTGCCTAGTGAAATTGATTGGCACATGGCTGGGGAAATTTGTCGGAGATTGAAAGTATTCTATAAAGCGACTGAGTTGTTCTCTGATACCGAGTATCCCACTGCAAATTTGTATTTTCCTAAAATTTGTGAGATAAAGCTTGCTTTGAATAATTGGGTTTCTTGCGGTTGGTGAGGTGCAGTCGATGGATGTAGAAATGTTGAATAAATTTCATAATTATTGGTCCGACGTTCATGGTATCATGGGAGTGGCGACTGTGCTTGATCCTAGGTATAAATGTGTTTTGCTTGAGTACTATTTTCCAATGATTTATGGTACCAATGGTGAGTTTGAGGTTGAAGAGATTCTTGATGTGTGTCGTGAGTTGCTACAACAGTACGAGGCTAAAGAGAAGAGAGGTAGCGATAAAAGTGGCTTTGTTGATCCTAATTTTTCTGATGACCCATCACTTAGTGGATATGACTTGTATGCCTCTCAACGAAAGAGAAAGTCTACAAAATCGGAGTTGGATTTGTATTTGGATGAGGATGTTCTACCACGAACGCCCGATTTCGATGTCTTAAGTTGGTGGAATTCTAATAAAGGCAAGTACCCGATTTTGCATCAAATTGCTCGGGATATCTTAGGAAT